ACACCCTTGAGAGCTCAAACAAGGTTCAAAGGTACCTCAGCTTAAAGATGGAGAGGTTTAATTGAGAGTGTATAGGCAAAAGCTTGCAAAAAGCTAAGAAATTGTATAAGAGAGAGAGAGAGAGAGAGAGAGAGAGAGAGAGAGAGAATTTTTGCTCTAAAAATTCCAACCTTGAAAATGAAAAGGAAGGCCTCCTATTTATAGAAAATCATGCAACTCCCTCAGAAAATATCAATACATACACGTGTAAGAAAGTACATACATCTGTGTCAACTGCTGGCACAGTTGACAGAAAAATATCTACAAAAACACACTTGTGGCCGGCAACCAGAAGCAGTGGCCGGAAGGCCACAAGAGGTTGCAGGTTTGAAAATTTATGGTGTTGGTCCAAAAATAAGGCAACAGGTGTGTAGGGTTTAAAAGGCTCAAAACTGTGACATTCCGCTGAGGACTTCGAGCACTTAAACGAGCATACATACTTATCATTGGGTGTGCAAGCGCTGATGTCTAAGTCGCAAGGGCGGTCAAAAATTGGGTGTCTACAATTAGCAACTGCATTTTGAAGTTCAAGAAGGAAAATAAATATGAGTCATAGGAGGTGTTTGGCATAGATTATTTTGGCCAAATTATAGATTTTAGCTTTAAAAAAATTATTTTGGACTGTTTGGATAAATTTATTTCAAATAATTTCTGATTTAGCTACTTATTTTAACTCAAAAAATCTAACTCTAAGAAACTGGTCACTCCCTACTTTTGATTGTCAGTTTCTGTCGTGGACATGTTAATTTATAATTATACCTTTGGTTTTTTTTTTTTTTTAATATTAAAGACCCAAAATGGCCATAGATTATTATTATTTTAAATGGGAAATGTGTAATATGAGTAAATAACAAAAAATAAAAATTAATTCAATTTATAACTAATAAATGTTAATTCAATTTATAATTAACAATGGGTAAAAATGCATTTACACATCAAAAAATTATTTTACAACACATTTACCAAATACTATTCAACAATTTAAATTTATAATTAAGCAGCTTCACCAAATAGAACAATAACTTATGACTAAAGCTATAATTTTATAGTCCGTTAAGTTATAATTTATAATTTGTTTTAACAGCTATACCAAATACCCCTATAATTTAATAAGATTTACTGTAATTTATCCTAAAATAAATTATAAGCAACTGATTTAAGTTACACCAAACCGCTTCCATGATAAGAGAATTTGGGACTTACATGGTAAATTCGGAGAAACATTTTAGGAGTCTTAATTTTTTATTTTTTATTTGTTATTTGGGTAATTAAAATTTGGAAAAGAAAAATTAACAAATTTTAAGCAACCTTAACAACTTAGGTCACGTTGGTTTGGTTTTATAAGATGGAGGAGATTAAAAATATGATGGAATTAACTGAGAAAATTATTAATATGGTGGTATTAGGTTAAAGACGGTAGTAGGCATTTTACCTATCTAAATATTACTATAAAGTATATATTTTATTTTGCCTATCGACTGTTTTATGTTTTTACTCCAACCATGCTCTTTATTTTAGCTATTTATCCAAATATTATTAATTTTATAGAATGCCACGTCAACAACAAAGATGGAGGGAAATGATCCTAGTGATTGAATACATTTTGCCTAGCATTGAAGGCTAGCTACATGTAGCTAGTGAATATGAGTTAAGGCAAAATGCATAATCATATGCCTAGTGCATTGGAATTGAAAAAAGTGAATCACACTAGGCATTTTAACTAACAAGTATTATATGCCTAGTGCATTGGAGATGCTCTTAGTACAAGGGAATAGTTAATCATCTCACTCATGTTCTCAACAAAACACTCTTTAAGTGAATTTCACATACTATTAATTCAATCATCTTTCTCAAATAGTCAAACAAACCTAACCTTAGGATAATTTCGTAATTGCACATTCCATTTCAATTTTTTTTCAAGTGATTCTACTTATATCACTACTTTACCTCTTTACACCCTCCATATGAGATTTCCCCTCCCCCCTCTCCAATTTTACCTATGTGTGAAATTACCTTTAAGGACAAAATACTAAAATTAAATATATTTTATTATCTCTTTACACCTCTTAGTCTTCAATGCCTACTCCTCTTCTTCCTTTCTTATTTTTTTTTCTCTCTTACACATCTATTTTCAAAAAGTGAGAATCATAGTATTTTGATCATAAAAGAAAGCAATGAATGAAAAAACTGTGGTGAAGAACCATGAAAAAAGTGAAATATTGAGTTTTTTTTTTATTATTTATTTGGTAGGTTTTTGTTTCATTTTTCTGGACTGTTCTTTGACTTTTGTTCGGTATTTCGAAATCGAACAAATTAAAATAGTCCAACATTACATTGCCGAACAAAAAATATATGTCTGGTAACCAATTGCCGAATAAAAGACACATTTTCGATAATCTAAGGCCGAATGTTTTAAATTTGTCCAGCTATTCATTACCATGTATTTCTAGTTTTATTTTTTATATTATTTATTTTTTTGATTGAAAGGATTATGATTATGCTTATACTCATTGTAATAATGTAAGTATTGTATTATTAGTGGACTCCAGTCATAAATTCATTACAGACAAGATTTGTTAAGTTTTTTTATGAATACGATTTTTTTCTTATTTTTAATTTGTATTGAGTTTTATTAATAATTTGACATATAAATGTGTTTATTATTTTTAGATTTTTAGTAGTAGTCAAGTATTAATTAAATGGGTTTCTGACGTTGGGAATAATACTAGATTTGACATTGTTATAAAGACATCAGATGTCAAACAACTGGATTTGTTTTCATCACCCACATGCTAGTGGATGGGACAAAACTTATACTACTTGTATTCATCAATTCCGTACGCTTGTCGATCCTGATGTAGTAACTACCGAAACCATCGATATAGACGAATTGTGATAACATGTTTGATTGATAGATGCAAACAATGACAGATTTTATGGATGTTTGTACAATTGATATTTTTATGAATATTTTTATAGATACTTTTTATATATGATTTTATGGATGCGTATTTGATTTATGGATTTTTTTTAATATGCTTGAGGGAAAAAGTAAACATTTCAACATATAGCGATAAGTGGCTAAACAAATCTATTATAATTTGACAATATGACACTAGAGTAATCTAATTTATATAGCAACGTATCACCGAATAGACACTTCACAAGTGATCTCGAATTAATTTATTGTTATCATCCAATCGAACGGCAACATATTGCTTGGAAAAAAAGTTTGTTTGGTAACATGACATTGGATTAATTCAAATTTATTAGCATTGTATTAGCGAACAGGCCTGACACAAATTAAAAATCATTTTTTGGAGAAAAAAAAATGGCTCTGTAAATGTATAGCAACAAAACGTTGGAGAAATCTATTTTTTCCGGCAACATAACACCTGAGGAATGTAAATTGTTTAGCACTGTGTGACCGAACAGGCACTTCGTTGTGGGCTCTACTCAGTATCTTCCCTGCATCTTTCTCTTTCCCTTTCTCTTTCTCCTTGCTGCGTCTTTCTCCGTTCCCTTATTTTCTCTCCAAAAACTATTAGTGTAAAGAGATGAAAGAGTTTTGAAGAGTCTTACTTTAGGGTTAATTTTGGTAATATAATAAGGCCTCATTTGGGAATAGGTTATTTTAGTAACTTTTTTATTTTTTTAGCTAAAATATGAGGTATAAAATTAGTATGTTCGAAATGAATTTTTGTAGAGAGAAAAAAGAATCATTAACTTTTTGATATATATTGTTGATTTTTTAATTTTTTAATTTTTTGAGTGACTTTTAAATTTTTAAATTAAAATATTAAGTTGTCAAACGAAATCTAAAGTGTAATAAAAATCATATTTTGCTTTCGCCAATCACAAAACAGCAACAGAAGTGTATGTAACGTACTTGCTGAATAATACTTCGTTGCTCGAAAACGGTGGCTCGAAATTGGCTTGAATATACAAAACGACGTCGTTTTGTATTTTTATTTTTATTTTTTTTCTTTTTCCTGGTTTCAAATACAAACAGACAGAGGGAAGAGAAGAGAAGAGAAGAGAAGAGGCGAGAGAGAGAGAGAAGAGAAGAGGTTGAGAAGAGGCGATGGCGGTGATGGCGGAGAAGGAAGAGAAGGAAGATCAACGGTAATGCCGATGGGGATCGACGGTAATGCCAATGGGTATCGCCGATCGCCTCCTCTATTTTCTCTACTTTCTTTTTTCTTTTTCTTTTTCTTTTTCTTTTTTCCACTTTCTAGTAGATCTGAATCTGGATCTTATTGTTGATGATGATGATGTGTTGATGAAGATGTTGTTGTTGATGATGATGATAATGTTGATGAAGATGTTGATTCTCTCTCTCTGTATTGATGTTTGTTGAAGATGATGATGTGTTGATTATCTCTCTTTCTTGTCTCCTCTTCTTATTCTTATTCTTCTTCTTTGTTGCTGCTTCTTTCTTCACCTTCATCTTCTTCATCTTCAGTAAAACAGGAAAGAAAAGTGAAAAAAATAAAAAATCACAACAATCAGTGTGTTTGGTTTGAGTTTTTTGAATTAAGTTTTTTAAAAATTGAATTTTTTGATTTTCGTATTTTTTTGTTTTTAGTGAATATTTTTAAAATTTTAAATATTTTTTTTACTTTTTTAGATACACCTTAGATGTATCAAAAAAGTAAAAAATTTGTGAATTTTTTTAAAAAAAATTAATAAATATATGAAAATATAAAAAATGTACTGAATTCTCGTATTTATTTTTATATTTTTGGTATTTAGTGAATTTTTAAAAGATTTTTTTCAATTTTTTTTACTTTTTAGGTATATTTATGTTAAGTATGTCTAAAAATTAAAAAAATTTCTTAAAATATTAAAAAAATTCAATAAAAATAAAAAAATACGAAAAATAATAAAATAAAATTTTCTGAAAAATATTTTTAAAAAGTGGTAACCAAGCAATATGAATGTCATTTTGGATTCGGGGCATTAGCAATCCATTTTCCGAGCTACCAACCGGAGTTGGTACTTGCTGACCAATCAGAATCCACGTGTGACTTCAACTTTTAACTCGGTGACGTAATCATCGGTCACCCACACAAACAGTACCCCGCGAGTATCTTTGATGTTTCCCCGCAAGTTACACTACACTGTAAGCGCAACTTAGAACAGTCCGGCGCACACAATCCCGCGAGCTCTAAACCGCCTTTTTTCTTCAGGTTTCGAAATCCATGCCCACCAAAATCTAACCTCTCATTCCTCTCCGTTTTGTCTTCGAAGATCGATCAAAACCCTAACCCTAGGCGAAAATTATCGTCGTCTTCAGGTTAGCAACTAGCTATTACGAATTTCAAATTTTCGTTTTGGGTCTGTAATTGCAGGTAGTTTTTGTTTGTGGGGTTTGCCTGTAAATGTATGAATTATGGGTTTTGTAGTTCAGATATGAAATGATTGAAGAATTATTATGATTTGGGGTCAGTATGAGGGACATCAAGCATTTGCCTGAGGCTGTTCGCAGCTCGGTTCGTTCTGGCATTGTCTTGTTCAACTTGACCAGAATCGTGGAAGAGCTGATTTTCAACAGTCTTGATGCTCGTGCAACCAAGGTAAAATTTTGAAATGTATTTTTATAAGATTGTAAAATGTATGAATTTAAAATCTGAAAACTGAAATGAATTTGGAAAAATCAGAAGTTCCAAAATAAAAAAAAAAACTGAATTTAGTGTATAAATGGCCATGTAACTGCTGTAGGGATATTTTGGGAAAACCCAAAAAATGAGACATCAATACCAACTCACGCCTTCCCTTTATGATAGTATAGATAGATGTAGGTAGATAGACATAGAAGATAGAAGATAGATAGATAGATAGAGCAGTTTTGCCAGCTTAAGCAGCAAGGCTTGTCTGTGGCCGAGTTTGAGGCTACTTTTACCAGTCTGTCCAGGTTTGCACCTGAACTGGTGGCATCTGAGGAACGCCGTTGCTTTGAGTTTGAGCGGAAGTTGAGGCGAGGCCTCAAGTTGAGGGTTGGTGGATCTTTCATC